ACCGAGGAGTACTCACTGATGAGGGTTGCCTGGCGGAGGTAAGGGCAGCTGGCGCTCAGGAGCAGCACAGGGACAGATGCCTGCGCGGCGCCCAGGAGGTTGGGGTGCTGCCGCGGGCAGCCAGGCCCGGGACCCAGGGCAGGCAGGCGATGGTCACATCACTGTCAACCTGGGCTTGACCACCACAGAGCATCTCAATCTAGCCAGATTTGGTGATGTTCAGTGCAGGGCAGTTTAGAATCCCTAACAATGGGGGCAAACAAGGCAGCCAGGCCCTGGACTGCAGCACAGTTAAAATCCCACAACACATGTCCTAGGACGCGCTCACAAGCTGCATTTGTTCTTGCTGTACAGCTTTGAGCAAGTTCCAACCTCCCTGGAGCCTTAACTTTCTCATCTGTAAAATGGGAAAACAAGACCTACCTCGGAGGATCTGGGGGAGAATTCACTGAAAGAGCCCAGGGCGGCTCTGTAACCACGAGCTGCTACCACCAGTGCAGGAGGAGAAAAGCAGTGAGTTGTCACTGAGGTACGGCAGTGTGAGCTCGTTTTTATTTACCAACAAAAAAAGGGGGTAAAATTTAGAGAAAGTCTGAAATGCACTTTCCTCGTTTGCCTTTCTGAGCATGAAAGCGTCTCCCCAGCGGGGAGGGTGGCAGTCAGGAGCATCAGAGGAAACGGTCAACACAGAGTTTCTGACAGGCAACCAGACCTTTGTAGGAAGATGACATCTTCCGGCCTGAGAAATGGGGGCATGAACTGTACTTTTATTCTAGCCGCTGCAGATGGGGCAGCAATGCAGGTGCCACAGCAGAGGTAACCAAGGAGCTCTGGTCCTCCTCTCCCTGCCCTGTGACCCTGTCCTCTGAGCAGGTGTCCCCTCAGAGAGAAGCAGATCGTGCACAGGGGAACAACGTGCACAACACGACGACTGCGGCGGCCCAGACTACATCAGGGGTTCCTCACACTCCCATCGTGCCTAGAGGACCAGCGCAAATGGGCCAAGACACCACTGAGAGCAGCTTCTAAACCAGGCACCTCGGTCACAAGGGCGCCAGGAAGAAAGTCCGGTGGGCTCACAGAGGACGTGCTCGTCAGCTGCTGTGCACGGGGTGGGGCCCAGAAGTTGCTTTTCAGACCCCAGCCTCCCACCTCTCACCACCATCCTGGGGGGCACATCTGGGAGCCCAGTTTGGAAAATGCCACCAGATCTCTGGGTCACCACCCCACTGGCCACGTGCAGCCCAGGTGGGGCAAGCAGGCCCCCTGACTTCCAGGAACGTGCAGGGGTGGCAGCAGGCAGACCCTCCAATGGTACCGCTCTGCCCCGGGGAGTGGTGTGGGGGTGGTGACACTCACCTGGTACTGGCCGAGCCCCAGGGCCGGGCTCTGTAACTGCTGGATGATGGAGTCGTCAAAGTAGCCGTTCTTCTCCCAGAGCTGCAGGAGCTGGACGTGGGGGAGGAGGGAGAGGCCGCGTCAGGGGGAAACCAGCGCCCCCCGCCCCCCGGCCCCTCTCCCCTGCCCCTCCCGGCTGCCCTACGTACCCGGGCGATCTTCTGCTGCTTGTCCTCCTCCACAGCCAAGAAGCTGGTGCAGTAGATGGGCACCACAACCTTCTGCAGGGCGGCCAGCAGCTCCCTGGCCTGCTTGCGCTGGCTGTGAGGGAGAGACCTTCCGCGCGTCAGGGCCCTGGGGCGGGACCCGGCCACGCGCCCGTTACCATCGCGGCTCCAGCCACAGCACCCTCTGCCTTCTTGGGACACGGGCCCCCAACCCGGCCGGGACAAGGGCTGGGCTCCCTGCAAGACCTGTGCTGGGGCCTGGGCCCAAGTGACAGACGGACAGTGGTGGGTGGAGGGAAAGAACACAGCTTGGGGGCCTGCAGAACAAGGCCTGTCACCCCGGGCCCCTCATCAGTAAAATAACCCTCCCCTCCCAGGGTGGCATGAGGATGGAGAGACGCAGGCCTGGGAGAGCCCCAGCTGTCCACAGGGCTCTGGGCCTGGTCCACGTAGCTGCGCTCAGCACTGTCACGGCCTCTGCACAAGGAAACTTGGGCTTCCAGGAGGCAGAGGGAGTGTGCGGGCTGCCAGGTGCCTAGGAGCCTGAGGCCGGGCAGGGTGAGGCAGCCTCTCGGGGGCAGTCAGTGTATAAATGGGTGAGGAGGCCCCCCCAAGGCTGTGCAGTGAGGTGGCAGAGCTCCTAGGGGAGGACATGGAAAAGAAGGTGGGCGACTGGAACCCCTCCCAGAGGAAGCTCAAGACAGGGCAGCGAGTGCCAGGATTGGGAAGCTAGGCTGGGCCGGGGGTGGGGAGGTCCAGGCAGGAGGACAGGGCGAGAGGCACTGGGCTCCCAAGAGTGAGGCTTGGGAAAAGCATGGCTGGAGGAGTGCCAGAAACAGGGCCACCTCCCCAGAGCTGCCTGGAGTTGGCACAGCAGCGGGTGAAGGAGGGCAGACAAGGTTGCAAACGGCTGCTTATTTCCCAGCGGTGGAGAAATAAGGGAAGGACGAGGCAGAAGCAACGAGTGAGAACCAAACCACCTGGGTGGCACAGGAAGCAGGGAGGGCTGAGGCCCCAGCTGCACGTGGGCAGAAGACAGGTGAGACGCAGGGCTGATTCTGCTGCCCTCACAGGAGCTATCCTTCAGCCTGCCAAGTTCAAAGCCAACGTGGCAGCCGGTCTTCCCAGCTACAGGCTAGCCTCACTAGCACTGTGTGCGTCCACCTGTCTCTGGCCCAAGCATCTGGTTTCTTGACTTCTGTCATAAGGCACCAAAGAATGGTGTGGAAGTAAACACCAGCCTGGCCTTGGGAGGGTTGTGTGTGGGGCCGGGACAGAGGGTTAGCCCAGGGGACCCTACTGGAAGATTCCTGAAGGAGAGCAGAGTCAGGTGACGGGTGGGTGTGTAGGTAAGTGAAGAGGGGCTGGCAGCTGACAGAGAGACACTAAAAACGCTCAGAAACTACCCCGAGGAGAGCAAGGAGCGAAGAGACAGCATCCCAGCTGAATGTGGGGGGCGGGTGTCCTCCTGATGGAGGGCTCTTGGCTCAGACTGACCCTCCCCTGGGGTCTTTGGAAGTGATCCCCAGACCCAGGACAGGCCCGGCTCCGGAGTGCAGAGTAGCGGCCCAGGAGAGGGAGAAGGAGCGGGGGAAGGCAGAGGGCAGGCCCTCACCAGTGGTGTAGCACGTCGTTGATCAAGTAGATGAGGTGCAGCCGCAGCTCGAAGTGCGCCCCATCAGCCGTGATGCGGTTCCGGAGGTGGCCGGCCATCAGCTCACAGTGCGGGGGGGACTTGGCATTGCTGAACATCCAATTCTTCCCGGCCTGCAACAGCCAGGGTGGTGGGTGAGTGGGGCTGGGCAGGGCACGCCCCGTGGCCTGGCCTGACTTCTGTCTCTCTCGGCAGCCCTTGGAGGTCCTCAAGACGGAAGGGAAGGGAGAGACGGGGTGCCCCTAGAGCAGCCCCGGCCCAGACAGGCTGCGGGGACTCCCAGCTCATCAGGAACACTCTCCACTCTCCCCATCTCCTGCCCTCACCGAGATGGCATCTTTGGTGCAGGTGTCAATGATGGGCTGCAGCAGGTTGTCAAACTCATTCATATCCAGCTGGGTCTCCTCCAGGAGCTTCTGCATCTGCTGCTCTACCGCGTGGGCCACAGCTGCTGTCACCTGCTCCTGGGAGGCCAGGCAGGACCAAGACTGCGTGAGGAGAGGCCTCCACCCAGGCCCCTCAAGGCTGGCCCACCAGTACCCTGACCCCCACACGAGGAGGTCCCATTCCTCACACCCAAAGTCCCTGACACGCATCTGTGACTCACAGGCATGGCACACAGACTGGGCCAAGGACAGAGCCAGACAAGATACTGTGGGAGATGATGTCTGCTGCCCAGGTGACAGACGGAAAAATTAAGACCCAGAAAAACAGGCAACCTCTGCCCATCAATTCACCCAAAAAAGAAATGACAATGAATGACGGGTGTGAACATAGTATGGAGGGGACACATAAATGGTCCCCAGTCAAGCAAAAGGAGAGCAACTTCACTAGCAATCAGGGAACTGGAAATCAAAACACGATGCCAGGCTTCTGCCCGTTAGGTTGGCAAACTGAGACACTGGCTGAGATTCAGCACTGCTGTGGGACAGGTGGTCAGCTCGGGGCCGGCCGAGGCTGGAGTGGCCAGCCTGCGAAGAGCTCTGTACAGAAACCACGGGTGAGTGTTCTGGAATGGTTTGCTTTCAGTAACACAACAGTAACTTTACATATTAACTCTAGTAATAAAACTGGGGCAGGTGTTTCAGGTGTCTTATTTTTTATTCATCTTATTTTCTGGTAATACATCCTATTGTGTTTGGCTATAATATGAGACTGTGACAGATTGGGACAAAAGGGTCCTTCCTCACAACAGCTTGGGGTGACCTGACTAGCAGGAGCTGGTGCCAATGGCACCAGAGGCCACCTGGCATTCTCCGTTACACAACTTCTAACGTGCATTCTTGCTTGAGGGTCTCCACCCTAGTACAACAGGTGTGCGTGTATCCAAGCTTGTGCAATGATCTCACTGGGGTGAGAAGCAAGCTCGGTGTCCAGCATCGGGGTCATGCTAAACACAACACAGGGGGATTGCAGCACTGGAGTGACAATGGCGGTGATGCACGGAGCCCCAGGCCACAAGCCATCCCCATCCTCAGTGCTGACATCTATTATTAGTACCAATGTACAGACGTAAAAACTAAGGCAGAGAGAGTGAGCTCTGGGTACCCACCTCAGAATGAGAGGGGAAGGGGAGCAGGCCCGTACCTGTCTGAGGGCCAGCAGGTGCTGCTCCTGCTGCTGCAGGTTCCACTGGCTCTGCTGGATGAGCTCGTCCATGGACGGGGTTCCCTGGGCTGGCGGGATGGGTGCAGCAGGGGCCAGTGGGGGCTGCGGCAGGGGTGGCAGGGCCGTGGTCGGCTCCAGCTCTGGGGTCTGCTGCTTGCAGATGACTGGCAGGGGAGGAGGAGAGGTGGCCCCATGAGGAGATGGCTGGGGTCCAAGTGTCCCCTTGGCTGTCTCTTGGGCAGCTCTAAGCCAAAGGGGCTCCTCAAACAGGCATGTTTCCTCTTACCCCACGCTCCACCCCCTCCAGAGCCCCCTGCTGCTCCAAGGCTGGCACAGCTACGCCCACAGACCCAAGTCAGAAGCCGAGACGGTACGTGCACCTCTCCTTTGCACCTCATGCTAACAAGCTGCCCCCCGTAGTCAAGTCACCCTCTTAGATCACACGCCAAGCTGTGTCCTGCCACCACTGCCATGACTCTGCTGTCACCTGCATCACTCTGGGAACTGGTTTCCCTGTGTCCAGTCCTGCCCTGCCACCCCTCCCCTGCCAAGGACCACCATCAGGTGGTACCAAGACTAGATAAGCACAGAAATGGCGAGAGAGCATCTTGGCACTTTTATGGCAATTTGACGTTTCCCAGCTCACACTTTTATTTTGCAAAACTGTACTTTCCACAACAGGTTGGAAAAACACACAAAACCAGCTCTTTATTAGAGTCTGTGAGGCACCATTCTAGAACAGTCCTGGGTCTCAGTCCTCTCAAACTACCAGAATGAAGAGCTGGCTACAACAGGCTGACCCTGCTCTGGAACACAGTCCTGATATCCTTCAAAAACTCCCCCAAAGCTTCCAGAAACCCCCCCAAAGCTTCCAGAAACCCCAATTCCTTGACAAGCCAAACCTGCCTGCTCTGCATTCTCCCTTCTGGCCACTCCAAGAATCTCTTCTCTTCTGGGCTTAGACACCCTGAGCTTTTGTCCCCTCTACTCCCCAGCCCCTCCTAAGGCTTGTTCCTCTGCCCAAACACCCTTGTCTCCTCAGTTTCCATCTGCCTAACTCTGACATGCCCTTCAACAGCAATGGAGGTACTGTTTCCTGCAGAAATCACTTCCTGAGCCCCAATCTTTCCCTGCTAGAAGCACCCCAACCCTGCCCCCCTCCACTATGGCACCAAGTTCCCAGCATCCCCGATTTCTGACCTTCCAGGGTGACAGTGGGCTCTCTTCACAGGGGAAGCAGCTCTTGCCTTACAGTCACTCGAGCCAAAACATTGTCTTCCTCTGCCCAGCGATGTCACCCGCAGCAACATCCAACCAGTGCTTCAGTTCACAGATTCTATCAGTTAACCCCACCTGCCCTCATGCCTACTCCCTCCACTCAACCCGCCAACTTAAATCGGACATTACCATCAACTGCCAGCTTCATTGCTCCCAGCCTATACTCATGCTCCCTCCAGCCTGTCCTCCACACAGGCCACACTGATCCATCTCTCCCTCGTTTCAAATTCCCTCGTGGCTTCCAGCTGCCTATGGCAGGGAGTTTATAAAGTTGATGTCCTGGGGCCAAGGAATGGCTACTCCAGAAACACGTAAGCACATACAACATTTTGCCTACAATTTCAGGCAGCTGACTTCCTCCACCCTCATCTCAAACCTAAACAGGCACCAAAAGAACCCCCAGACTAAGGAAGAAAACCCAAACTTCCCCCGGGTATTGACCATTCCAGATCAAACCCTTCCCTTGTCTATGTATGTCTATGCTCCAGCCATGCTGGGCTTCTCATGGTTTCTCCCCCCGGTTCTCCAAACACACTGTGCTTGTTCAAGCCCCTGTACTTTTGCTGTGCCTTACAAATGCTTTGTTGAACACCTATTCTGTGCTATCTATTAAAAACAACAATGACCCAAACAAAGTCTACTTGGCCTCAGGGCACTTGTAGTCCAGGCAGCATTCACCATTCAATCGACTTGGCAAACTGGAACACAACCTATTTAGAAACTAGGGATTCATTACTGAACAAGACAGGTAAGTGCTCAGGGACCCTACCACCGGGTGACTAATTGTCCGTTAGTCAAAGACCAGCTGTGATTCCTAACCCCAACTTAAACACTTTTTAAAGGCCAGAATCCTGATGCCCAACTCTATGAACATGAACAGCTGCCAAGAACAAAAACACATAGGACAATTCATTTTGATCAAGACTGCAACCATCTTAAATGCACAAAAACCCTGCCGGACCCAGAGAGCCCGAAAACGGGGCTGGAGGAGGATACCCGCCCCGAGGATCCTATCCAGTCAGGCTTCTATCACTTTCTCCCTCGAAAACACTGAAGCAGTCACTCTACTTCGCTGACCTCAGTCATCACGTTTGCAAAACAACAGTAAAATTCCTGATCTAGAGCCCAGGAGGAGGATCGATAACCTCGTTCTCCATTTCACTCGGACCCAGCAGCCGCACGGTACAGGGCACTGGGAACAGCGGAAGGGATCGCGAAGACCAAGCTAACACATTTTCACTGTGAAAGAGCATGCGACCCCAAAGAAGGCGGTTTGTGGCAGAGCCCAAAATGGAATCAGAGAAAGGAATCACTCGAGGGGGCGGCCTGAGAGCTGATGAAGACTCACGCTGCTGCTGCTCTAGCGCCAATTTGCACTTGTAGTAACTGTAGAACTCGCCACCAAATAGAAACGAGAATTTCGGGTTGTCCTTCTGCTTCTCCATCGTCATCTTTTCAAACTCGGGCCCGTTCCGAGCCACGAACTGGGCCAGCTTGTCGATGACATTTCGAAGCTCCTGGTCTGGAAGACGGAGAAAAGGCCACGCGGGGCGTCAGTGAGGACCGCCCAAATCCGGGGGCCCTGGCGTCCCAGCCCGCGTCCGTCGGGCCGGGGTCCCTAGGGGTGGGCCTCAGAGAGGCCGCCCTTGTACGGGTCCCGATAGGGGCCAGAAGCTCGCCGGGAATGCGGGGATACGCGGGAGAGGCCGCAGGCGAACCCGAGAGGCCGAGCCCCGCCCCCTCCTGGGCCCGGGGGATCCCGGGCGGCTGGACGGGCCAACAAGGAATTCCGGGAGGAGAGAAACGGCCCCTAAGCCGGGGCTGGGCCTCACCGTCGGGCGGCAGCGGCATCTCCATGGCTCCGGCCGCGGGGAACGTCCTCCGGCGCCTCACGATCGCCCACCAGGGCCGTCTGCGGAAGCCGGCCGGAAGTGGCGTGAGGGGCCTTTTACGGCTGGCCTCGCGGGCTGCTTCCGCCCGCCACTTACGGCCGTCGCCAGGAAACCCCGGAAGTGAGGGCACTATGCGGGCGGGAAGCAGCAGCTCAAGGCGGGACGCGGGGGGGGAGGGGCTATCGATGCGCACGCGTAGGTGCTCTCCCGCGCATGTGCGGAGTGAGCTCCTGTAGCGCGACGCCTGGGAACGGCCGGAACGGCGCGGATGGCAATTAGCGGTGGCTGGGGCGTCCTCCCAGGTCCGCGTCGCAATCCAAGGGCCTGGCCGGCCGCGTTCTCCGAGGGACGAGGGGGCCTGGGGAATTCCTGCCCTGATCAAGCCTTTTTCTTTCTTGCGGGGCGGCGGTGAGGAAAATCAGAGGTGAGGTGCGTCCTGGAGGCTCCTGGACCGCGGTGCAGTCACATCCTCCCGGGCCCGCTAGGAGGTAGAAGCAGAACCGGGAGGCTATAGGCTTGACGGGGATGGAACCGGGCTTATGGAGGTTCAAAAGATCTTTCTGCTCGGTTTCTTTCCCTCGATCCAACACTTTGATAAGGAAGGCTTTAGGGCGAGGGGACCCCCGCACCCTCACCGGTCTCAGACTCCATGCGCCCCATTGGGACTCGCGTGGCTTCTGTGCAGTTGTTCAAGCAGCATGGGACGAGCGAGCGCCCACAACCTGCGGGTACCCGGCTTTCAGTGGGCACGGCGCCCTCTTGAACTTAACGTTACGTTGCTCTTGAAACGATGATAAAGTTTGACGCGTGCTAATTGTTGGGGAAAGATAACAAGCGGCAGCAAACGTTAGAGAACTGCAGATTTTCGGCTTCCCCCGTGATAGGCCGCTCTTGAGATTGCCATTGTTTGTTTTGGGGTTTTTTTTGTACTTTTTAAATTGAAGGTACTGGGGATTGAACCCAGGACTTACTGCTTGCTAAGCATGCCCTCTACCACTGAGCTGTACCCACCTCCCCAGAGATTGCCATTCTTAACATTAACTCTTGGTTGTCTGTACCTCCCTGTTTTTTCTGAAAATAGATGTCCGTGTGTTTTAGATACATTTGTTACTAAATTTCTCCATCTCACACTTACGGACTGTCTCCTGTAAGCCACATACGGCTCTAGACCAGAGGCTAGCAAACTTCTATAAAGGGCCAGATAGCAAATATTTTGGGCCAAGAGGCAAAATCGAGAATTTTAGTAGATGCTTTATATAACCAAAGAAAAAGTGTCCAGAACACTTATTTGTTGGTGGAATTTAAAATAGAATAATTGAGCACAGTTTTAAACGAGGTCTAATGAGAAGAACGGAATGCTTTGGGGGGATTCCAAGTTAATTTTTCCTGTTATCAATTGATTGCAAATGTTCACCTGTGAAAACCATTCTTGGTTCACAGAAAGGCAGGCTGGATGGAGCTTGTGGAAAACAATGGACAAGTCAGACCTGAGCTCTCATGAGCCCACACCACAGTCTGGGTAGGCAGAGACCCATAAATCAGTTAACATATATATCATCTCAAAGGTGTTAACCAAGGAAGACAGAAGGGTGCTGAGACCTTGATAAGGGAGGAGGGCTGTGTCTACACGGATAGGGTTATCTGAGAAGGCCCTTGAGAGGTGAGGTTTGCACTGAGAGCCCACGTAAGAGGCATGGGAACCGTCCAGCCAGAGGGAGTATCAGGGGACCGCTCTGTTTAGTATAATGCTCAGTAATCTGGGTAGTGTAATTTTTCCATGCCAGTCGAGATGTGTATCAAGAAGCCTTAACCTGTGATCCACCATGGATGGACTTCAGAGATACATAGCACAATATTGTCAAAATTGTGCACTTTTGTGAGTTGAAGATAGACAGCACTTATCAAATTTTTGACAGAATCTGGGAACCAAAACACGTTAAAAATTTGTATGGTCATTTTTTTAATGACTGCATAGGACAGTGTGGTGTGGATTTACTGTAATTTATTGAAGCCAGACTCGATGGAGTCCCTTGGGTTGCTTCCACTTTTAGACCACTATTAAAAGTTTTAGTGTATACCTAGGTCTTGTGCTGGGTCAAAGCAGTATCAGCAACTGGCCCTCAGACAGGTAGTCCACCCATGGTCACTGCTATCATACATTCATTTCAGTGTTTAAAATGCTGTTTGAGACTGCAGATTTAAGCCGCACAGGGCTTCGCCCAGGCCCGTTTCAGTGGGCCACGTCAGAATGCAGCGGTCAGAAGAAAGCAGTAGAGAGAGCTGCTAGACGTAGAGGCTGCGGCAGAGGTGGTCTGTCTCCCAGGACCTGGAAACAAAACTCTTAAGTCAACAAGTGTAATGCACACCCCTTGGTGAGATGAACTTGCTGAGGGGACCCACCTAAGAAGCAAAATCGGAAAGAATTTAAAAACCATACGTATACCCACTTTGGTCCTGCACGTGTGCTGTGAGGGATTTACCCCAAATCAGGAGTGTGTGCTACACTGTGCACTGCAAACTTATCCCATTAAAATAGTCATTAACGAGCAGCAATGGGGGTTGGTTAATTATAGCACATCCTATAATACCATGTACACAGACACAAAATCAAGGGGAGAATGTTTAATAACATGGGGAAATGTTTCTAGTATTTTTTTAAAAAAGCAGATTACAAAATAATACGTACAATATGCCAGTTTTAAATGAAGTGTATATTACCCTCCCCAGAGGCAACTGTTATGTCCAGATTCTTGTGTATCTTTTCAGAGATAAACTATATTCACAAGCACCTTTATTTATCAGTGATGCATTTTGGAAGTCATTCTGTCCTGCTCTTTTTGACCTCTGTATACTGTAAGTAATTTTTTGGCTTTAATAATTTTTTTCAAACGTAAAAAATAGATAGACAATAAAAGTTATCAAAAACACAGTGGGTGACTGAGGAAATCTAGGCCCAAGCTTTGGTGTGACTGTTGCCTCGTCTCCCGTAGTAACTGGACCCCGTGTGGTCAACTAGCTGAAGCCATGGCAGGAGGAATGTCTTATGGGAACAGAAAAGGTCTGGTCCTGTCCTAGGCAATGAGCATTCCTTGGGCCTGATTACATGTCACCCAACGAACCTCTGGTCACAGAGGAGCTGCCCTGGGGAGACAAAAGAGGAGGGTTCCAGTGTCTGGGAGGGGACATCCCTGAGGGGGTTCAGGTTCTGCGTCTGAGCAATGGGGCCATCCCTAGTCCTGGTCCTGCCTGACTCATGGGTGACAGCATCCTGGGCAGAGCCTCTCGAGGCCCTGCTGGAACTGCAGCAGATGACTGCAAAGCTACTTGGGTCATCTGGACATAAGGGCTCCTTTGGGGCCTTACTGTAGCAGCATGGCCCAGCGAGTGCAATGAAAGGATATACCTTTGATCACACCAGCTCCTTAGGAGTATGTGACAAAGGTGAGGGAAAACAGAACAGCTCACTTGATTGAGGCTACTCTGCAGGCAGAGGGCTTAGAGACAGACACTCAGGTTCCAGGCCTGCTCCATGGGCCAAGCTTGACTTTCTCTGCTGCCACTTCCCACTGTACAGGGGAGCTGATACCTCCCTCTTGGATCCTGATAGTTAAACAAGACATGTATAATATAAAACGTGCAAATGCAATATTCTGTGAACTGAAAATGCAAGCCCAAACATTCCCATATGCCCTTTAAATAATTACCCTGTACTTTCTTTAGCATTTTTTCACCACCCTCTAACATAGCACCTGTGTGCTACTTCATTACATATCCATAAATTAAGCTGAGTGCTCTGAGGGTAGGAGGCTTGTGTATCTCAGCTTCCTGTACTTGGCACACACTAAGTACTCAGTAAATCACTGAACAAAAGATTACAAATTAAAAGGATGTGGGCACTTGTTTTAGAAGAAACTCATACCCCTCAACTGTGATTGAAGGAAATTCTCTGTTGGGGATAGTTTCTGAATATGGGAGAAAATGGGCTTAGAAGGCAGACTTCAGTAGCTGTGTGATTCCAGACAAATGACTTAACCTCGTAGGGCCTCATTTTCATCTGAAAAATAAGGCTAATAAAATCGAGGCAAAGGGATTATAAGGATTATGTGCAAAAGCCCACAGGCAGGTACTTGGTGTTACCTGTTTATTCCTCATAAAGATGCTTCGTAAGCACTGCTGTCACTACATTCTTGGATTTTCCATGTTATTCTATTCAATAAAGGCATGTCATTAACTGTTAAGCTGTGGTTCCTAGTTTTATCCTGCTGTCTCATAAATTCACAAATCTCATGACTCAATTTTGGCTCAGAAAAAATAAAAAGGTTGCAACACAGCTGGATGTGAGAAACAAACTGGTTTGCTCTTTCTGCCTCTTACACGTTTTGCTGCTGGGCACACTGGGTCACTCAGAGAGAGACCCTCACTGACAAACTGGGACCGATCCTGATTCCCTGGAGACCATCATTTATTTTTGGTAAATGCCATCCATGAATATACACAGTATCATTCCCACAGAACAGTCTATAGCATTAAAAGTCTTGAAGGTAACAGTTGAAAAAAAGAATTCACAATGTTCAGATTCTTCAATAATTTAATGTTCTATGCCCTTAAGGCTGTTAGGCCTTAAGGTATCCAGGATGGTTATGTCCCAGCGATAACAGGGCCTGTTGCATTGAAGTATGCCAAATACACAGCAAAATTCAGAAATTCCAAGTGCTTCTTCATTTGAACATATTTGGCTTCTCTCCTTTGTAACAGGGGTTTGATTTTCCTGGTAATGAATGACTTAAAATAAGGTGCTTAAAAATTCCACACTGAGTCTCAAAATAGTGAACAAACACTATTTTAAAATGTCCTCTGAGCCTCAGTTTGCCCTTCTGTAAAATGAAGGAGTTGGGCTGGAGTTTGTTTTTGCAGACCATACCACGGATGGGTGAACAAAATTCACTGTCACAAACCCCAGCAGTGAGGAGGGAGAGGAGAGCAGAGCTGCAAACGCGGATGTGGGCGTGGGGTGGAGGGGTTGAGCCAGGGCAGCAAGTGGCTGGAAAACTGGCCTTCAACAGGTCAATGTCAGCTCTGAACTTTCAGGTCTCAAAAGTACATCTTTGTCTTTTGATCTGATGGATTTGGTCTAATGATTGTCTCTCTCATTCCAGTGTGTGTGGTCACTGTAGATATATGTACAGAATTAAATATTCCACTCATTCAATTTATAAACCATAATAAAACCAGTCAGATATTTCCCTTCACCAGCAGACCTTTCATTGAAAAAGGAAAGCAAGTTAATAAGCAAATTTCAGCAACTTGAGAAATTCCATTAAACCTTCTGAGAGGCATGATTCATTTTGGAGTTCAATTATACGTTCAAGGAATCAGTTATTACCATCATAGAGACAACTACTGTAACGTCTTAGCCATGCAGGATTATCCCCGTTTAGTGTGGTTCAACTGCGGGCCCTGCTGCCTCTGGTGAAGGCCCTCAGCAAGTTCTTTGCACAAACAACACCCTGCAGGACGGCCCCTTCCTGTTTGACACAGCCTTGTCTCAGAACTTGGGGCCAAAGTAATTAAAAAGCAAGCTGATGCCAAACTGTAACAGGGACTCCTGAGGCCAGTGGTACAGAACTCAGGCCAGAGGGCACCCTGTGACTTCTCCAGGCACTGCCCATTCATAAGCTGACAAAACATAACCTCTAAAGACAAAACTCCAATTATCAAAAACAAACAGGAGTCCAGCATAATCTACAGTACTTCCTCTTGGAATGGAGAACCGTCTCATGTGCCAGAAGGTAAAGGGTGACCTGCGGTCCCGTCTGCTGATCACTCCAAGTGCCTGCTGGAGAGTCTGGGACAGTGCTGAGGGAGTGAGGCAGCCGTCAGCAAAGACCCCACCAGCCCAGGCAGTGGTCCCCTCCAAAAGGGCACAGGCTCTCATGATGCCGGGCATCCCAGCCTGGACCTCAGCACACAGGACCTGCTGGGGTCACATAACCTTTCTGAGAACATGATTCTGTCAAAACCCAAACTTCTTCTTGACCAAAGGCTGATTTGGTGAACCGAATCCTACCTTGGTGGCTGCCCCTTTGCCGGGACATGATTCAGATCCTAACGGAAACCGCAAGAACAGCCCATGGGATCAAAGTGCTAAGCTCTCACCTCTTACCCAAACCATCAAGCTGATGCTCTTGATTCATGTCACTTTCAGAGATTGTGGTCACCAGAAAAGCGCTTCAAAACACTTCACGGCTTCCTACTAAATGCAGAAATGTGTCAAGACAGGCATCGCCAACAACTTTCCTTGGTTTTAAAACTTTAAAAACAAAAGAGTTCCCTAACCATAAGCCAGTCCTCATGTGTCCTGCATCCCCTAAGGGGGACTGAGGCATAAAAACACACAACTACAAAATACTCCCTAGAGAAAAGCAAGGTGCTCAGAAAACCAACACCTCCTTCCCAGACATCTTACCAGGTCAGCACAGAGTGGTGAAGACTCATCAGAAAACACGAGTACTCCAGAAACTGAGCTTGAAACACTGAACGTGATTTCCTAATGATCCTTCTCACAGCCCCGCATCCCCTCCTCCTGGATGCCCCGAGAGGGGAGACGCCCCCATTCTGGCCAGGGAAGAGGGAGCCCAGGAGACAGCGATCGCCCTTCCCTCTGGATCCGGGCACACACCACCTCTGCTCGCAGGTCAGAGAATCAGGCTCTGAAAATTCAATGCTAAATGTGATAGCTTTGCACCATGGAACTGGCCAGTAGCTGCAAATGGCCATGGGGCTGACCAGAAGACGGGGTCCATCGTTGTGGCAGGAGAGGCTGTAAGTAACTCGTGCTCCTCTGCTCCACGCCTGCATCGGTCCTACGCCTACCTGAGCAGTGGAATTAAAGCGGCTGGGCTGTCACTCTCAAGCACCACCCGACGGTCCTCTCCTTGCCGCCCTCCCCGCAAACCACCTCTTGCCCGCTCCAAGGTCTGTATCCTTTCCAGAGAGGGTCCTGGATGTTACCTGGAAAGCAGAACAAGAACTCTGAAAAACACGGCTTAGGGAAGAAGTCCACACAGAAAAGTAAGATCTGGCTGAGATTTCTGTAGCGACCCAGCCCTCGGCAGACAGACTCCAGGAAAAGAGGGCAGGAAGCGCCGGAGCTCCAGGGCGTGGGCCCCGCTGCAGGGACGGCGTCCTGCTGGCCTTCTGATGGGGACGCATCGTGCCCCTCAGCTGCACTGTACATTCACCAGTGGTCAGAAGTTTCTGGTACTGCTGGGGGGCGGCAGGGTGGGGGGAGTGGCAGAACGTCCTGCCCACTCTTCCAGACTCTACACGTCATAACGGTTCAAACTGTACGAGTTCGGGTAGCTCTGCCGGCTGTACTGGAAGTGATCTGTCAGGATGCTGTTGCGGCCATACTGATAGTCCCCATGCTGGGGGAAGAGGACGCCGTTGTGGGGTTTCTCCGGGGGGCTCCAGTGATGCTGCTTACTGCTCAGGTCCCCTGTCGTGACAGGGAGGAGGTGCTTCCGGGCTTGCTGATTCGCATCATACTTGGTCTGCAAAGTCGAGAGAGCAGTGAGGCCAACGGCTCCTTCCCCAGGACGCACACAGAGGGCAGAGGGGGCTCAAGATTCATGACCAAACAGCCTTCAAGGCTGCCTCAAGTGTCCACCCGAGCAAGGCGGGGCATGGCCAGTGGGTTGTTACGAGCCAGCCCCCATCTTTACACTAGAATGAAGAGAAGCTTCTCAAGGAGGGAGTGAAATCCCTGACAAAGCCTCCACAGACCCAAGAGCCACACTGGGGCGGTGCGTGGGCCTGGGGTCATCTGTGCCGGAAAAGGAAGCCCGGGGTGGGTGGGGCCATGCCCAAACCATAAACTGACCAGTGGCAAAGCTGGCAGCTGGAACCGAGGGCTCTTGGCTCCAGGCGAGGCCCCTTCCTTTCCCCATCTTTGTGCCTCTCTTGGCATCGAAGGGGCAGCTTCCCCCACTTCAGACTCACCTTGTTGTACAGAAAGACCCCCAGGATGGCCGTCATCATGCCCAGGACATTGGTGCTGGTGACTGGGTTTCGCAGCATGATCAGGGACACTGTGATGACCATGATTCTCTTGGTGGCGTTGGCGACCGAGTAGCTCAGGGGGCTAATAAGGTTGAGGATGCTGAAGGCGATGACGTTCTGGGCAAAGTTACAGAAGCCGCTGACAGCCAGGAGCAGAAGCGTCCAAGGCCACTGGGACACGTAGGTCTGCAGAGACAGGGGAGTGAGAACAGCACTGCGGTCACATGCTTGCCCTGGCAGGGGTGGCATCACAGAGTGGCATCACAGAGTGGCTTATCAGGGTCACCCCGTCGGTGGGAAGCAGACCCAGGCGGGTCACCGTGTGATACCAGGTGCTTTGTACACACCACCTCTGACCCTCTGCACGGCACAAACAACAATAATAATGATCACCACCCATTCCTGCTGAGGAAGCGGAGGCTGGAGGGAGAAAGTCCAGTACCCAAAGGGCGCAGAGCATCACATGAACCAAAGCCTTCCCTTGTCCCCGGACAGGGAGAGCCAGGGCTCTGGGATAGCAGAGCACGGCCTGCACACTGGACATCATCTCAGTCTGTTCAGGCTGCAGTAACTAAATACCACAGGCAGGGGTCCTTACAAACAAGAGATGTTCAGGCAGAGGCTCTGGGTCTGTCCCATCGCTGCGAGCCCCCGGGCAAACTGCTTGACCTCTCTGGTTGCAGTGTCTTCATCTATGCAGTGGGAGAGACTGATCCCTGATGAGCCTGCACCATGCTGCTGCTGTGAGGATCAAATGCAACTGTGGCTTCGAAAGTGCTTTAAAACAATCCCAAGCCAAACAAACACAAGATGATGTTATCATCAAAACTTGAGTTAACATCTGACCCTCGCCGGAACAAGACCATTCTGATGAACGGGGCCCAGAAGTCAAGGAACCACAACTAATGGACATCTGGACCACAGAACCTCTCAAAGAGCTTGGGCTGATCCTAGGCCAATTCTCGGGCTGCTCTGGCCTTGGCCACAGGCCACAGCTGGCTCCTCCAGGATGGGAGCTGCAGCAGTCTTAGGGTGGCTGCCTGACTCTATCTCAACCACTGTCTGCAAGGGGAGGATCACGCAGTCCTCTTAAAGGTGAGGGAGATGCACCTAGGTGACCAGCTCAGAATCGCCTGGAGCACTGCCTTAGCTGCGGTAGTGGCCTCTGTGAGGCACAGGAGCCCACCAGCATGGCTTCAGGGTGAGCTGGCCTGTTCTCCCAGGAATCCTTCCCTAAGGTGGCCTGATAAGGACTTCCAAGTTAGTTTTACAAGGCAGCCAGCTTGTATAGATATGCATCTCCCAGGACAGGAACCCAGCCAATCCAGTTTTTTTGTTTTTTAAACTGACATACAATAAAGTCCAGTATTTCTTCCTCCTGGTGAATTATTCCATCTGTTTTAACACATATATTGATCCGTGTAGCCAACACCACAATCAGGATTCAGTTCAGCACCATCACCCTCAAAACACTCCCCGGGGGGTTCTTTGTGCAAACCCCCTCCCCCAACCTAGGCAACCACGATGTGTTCTTCATCATAGGTTTGTCTTTTGGAGATTGTCCTCTAAGCGGAATGATACTGCATGGAACCTTCTCAGACAGTTTCTTTCATTCCACATGATGCCTCTTGACACCCACCCAAACTGCTGTAAGGGATAACAGTTGGCACCCTTCTTATTGCTGAGTAAAGTTCCACTGTACGAACATACTGGTTTCTTTATCCATTCACCTGCTGAAGGACATCTGGGTTGTTCCCAATACTTTGTGGTCACGAATAGAGCTGCTGTAAACATTTATGTACAGGCTTCTGTGTAAACCTGAGTTTCATTTCTCTAGAGTAAATACCCAGGAGTGAGACTGCTGGGTCATATGGTCAATGTATAACCTCAGAAGAAACTCCCAAATGTTTTCCAGAGTGGCTGCACCATTTTGCACTTGCTCCAACAACATACGAGAATTCCAGCTATGCCCAATACTGGACAAACATGGTATTGTCAGTATTTATTGCAGCCATTTTAATAGGTATGAAGTGGCATCTTATCATGGTTTTAATTTGCTTTCCCCTAATGACTAATGATGTTGAACATACTCCACATGCCTACTTATGTGCCACTTGTACAATCTCAATGGTGAAGTTCAAGATTTTTGCCCATTTTTAACCAAGATGTTTTCTTACTAGAGTTTTAGGAGTTCTTTATATATCCTGAATACAAGTTCTCTGTCAGTATGTCACTAGCAAATATTTTTTCCCAGCCTGTAGGAAAAATTTTTTTCACTTGATAGTGTTTTGGGAAGCAAAAGTTTTTAATTTTGATGAAGCCCCCATTTACCAATTTTTTCTTTATAGACTTCGCTTTTGGTGGAAGGTCTAAGAACTAATCCCAAGTCATGAAGATTTTTCTCTGTTTTCTTCTAAAGGTTCCCATTTTAACTCTGAAATCTAGGTCTGGAATGCATTAAGAGTTAAATTTTGTATAATGTGTGAGGTTTAGGTCAAGGCTCAGTTTTTTGCAGATGGATGTCCAATTGTTCCAATATCGTTTGTTAAAGAAACTACCCTTTCTCCATTGAACTGCCTTTGAATCTTTGTCAAAAATCAGTTACTCACATTTGTCAGTATAGTTTCAAACTATTCTGCTACCCTGATTGATGTGTCTCTCTCTTCACCAGTATCTATACTTTTACACTGTCTTAAAATTATGTAATGTGATTCCTCCAACCTTATTCTTATTCAAATTTACTTGGCTATTTCAATTTTTTTGCCAGTCAATATTAATTTTCCAATCAGCTTTTCTATATTAAAAAATCTAATATATAGGTATCTATCTCCATACATACACACACACACAGATACACAGATTGGTGTGTCTCAACTTTTTTCATCAATGCCTTTGCCAAGGAGAAAATTTAAGTTAAAATTTAAGTAATGACTTTCAATTAAATTAATACTAATGAATAAGATTTTGTTGGGCTGAGAGAGTTATTATTTTGTCCTTTCAAATATGTATTTCTTTTTTTTTCTCTTTCTTGTTTTAGTGCCCTGGCTATGATGTCAAGTACAATGTGGAATAGGCTGATTGAGAATGAACACCTCTACCTTATTCCTGAATTTTGTGGGGAAAGCCTTCAATCTTTCATCATTATGATGTTAGGTATATATGCCCTTGATCAAGGTGAAGTAGTTTCCTTTATTTCTAGTTTGCTGTCTTTTTAAAACGATGAATGGATGTTAGATTTTGTCAAATGCCTTTTCTGCATCAGTTAATATGAATACGTGATTTTTCTTTGCTAGGCTGTTACAGAAGATTACATTGATTTTCAAGTATTGAATTAGCCTCGCACTCCTGATTTAAATACCACTTTCTCATAGTGTATCATACTTTTTATATTTCACTGCATTTGATTTGGTCCAGTATTTTGTTAAGAACTTTTGCCTCCATGTTTATGAGGAGTGTTGGTCTTTTTCCTGGTTTTGTTATATGAGCCCAAAGTGCTCCTTTCACTCTTTGGTTTCTGGAGAAGATTGTGTAGAACTGGTGTTTATTTTTCCTTCAATGTTTAGTAGAAATTACCAGTAAAACCATCTGGGCCTGGTGATTTCTTTTTAGAAGGTTTTATAGCATGAATTTCATTTCTTTAATAGTTATGAGACTCATGTTATCTTTTTCATCTCACGTGGGTGAGCTCTGATAGTTTGTGGCTTATGAGGAATTGGTCCGTTTCCTCTGTGTTGCTGCATTTATGTGCATAGAGTTGTCAGTAGTGTTCTTGCACTTTTAAGGTCTGTGGGTCCTACAGTGCTATTCCCTCTTTCAGTCCTGGTATTTGTAGTGTCTTCCCATTCTCTCTCTCTTTTCTGGGGGGGGGGTCAGTTTTGCTTCAGTTGAAAATATTCTGTTTCCCTTGAGACTTCCACTTTGGCCATAGATTATTTAGAAATGTACTGCTTAGTTTCCAAGTGTTTGGAGACTTTCCTGTTACCTTTCTGTTATTTACTTCTAATTCCATTATGATCAATGTACTTTGTATGTTTTCGATCCTTTTGTTAAGGTTTGTTTAATGATGAAGAGTATCTAGCTTGGTGAATGTTCCACGTGTACAGCTGAAAAGAATGTCTATTCTGCTGTTGCTGGCTATTCTATAAATGTCAGTGAGATATCCAGTTGGTTGACAGTGCTGTTTGGTTCTTTATTCTTACTGATTGTCTATAGTTCTATTGATTTTGAAGATTCTGAATACAGAATTATGTGTTGACAGCTCTTTATTTTCAGTACTTTAAAAATATTATCCTACTTGTGGTTTTCAGAGTTTCTGATGAGAAACCTGCAGTCATTCAAATTGCTGTTCTCCTATAAATAATGCATCATTTTTCTCTGGCTGTTCTCAATATTTTTTTTTCTTTGTCTTTTAACCTTTTTCTCTCTGTGGTTCAAACTGGATTATTTCTATTGATTTATCTTTAAGTTATTGGCCTTCCTCAGGCATCTCCATTCTACTACTGAGCTCATCCAATGAGTTTTTAAGTTGTTTCTTCCATTCTGAAATTTCCATTTGGTTCTTCTTTCTATCTTCTATTCTTCTCATTTATTTCAAGAGCATTCTTGCAGCATGATTATAAATCACTGCTTTGAAGTCATTGTCCTGGGGGGAGGGTATAGCTCAGTGGTAGAGTGTGTGCTTAGCACGCATGAGGTCCTGGGTTCAATCCCCAGTACCTCTATTAAAATAAATAAATAAACCTAATTACCTACCCCACAATTTAAAAAGAAAAAAAAAAGTCTTTGTCCAGTAATTCTAACATCTGGGTCATCCCAGTGTTGGCATCTGTTGATTATCTCTCCCCACAAGACTTGAAATTTTCCTGGTTCTTTGTACACCAAGTAATTTTGGATTATATCTTGGACATTTAGAATATTATAAGACCGTGAGTCTTATTTAGGTTCTTTGGGGCACGTCAGTGTTTTGTTTTAGCAGACTCACTTGGGTCCAGGCTGCAAGCTCAACCAGCCTCTGTGGGTTACAGTTCCAATGTCAGTTTTGTTTTCAGAGCCTTCTCAGTGGTACATGGCTCTGTCCTGAGTGTGTGCTACCCAGTGGTCAGGCTTAGTCCTGGGTAGCAGTCTATCCTGTCTTGGCATGCTGTTAGGATCAAATCCTCACATGGGCAGCTCATGGGTGAGCCCAGGATTTCCTGGTGTTTTATAAGGTCGCTTTCGCCAGATTCCTCCTCTCCATGATCTCCTTGGTGCTGTCTGGTTTCCTAGGGATCCCTTTTTCAGTCTTGCATTTAGAAAGCTGAGCTTAATTACCCAACTCTGCTGTGTCCTTCCCATAACTGCTCCTCCATTCAGGGGCCAAGCAGTGGGAGGATGAAGAGAGAAAAAAATGCAACAGGGGCTAATCAGCATCCCAGGTGCCTGGAGGACCCTGCCACCGCCACCACCGTGAGATAGCTGGGGGCCCAGGATGCGAGAGAACAGAGGAAAACAGGGAAAACAGGGGATTCCCTCTACTCTCTCTGAGCATCAGGAACCTCCTTTCCCCTCCGCAAGCCAGCACAGAGGGTTTCTCGCGCTGCTCTCACCCAGTGCCCACTCTGCATTCTGAGCTGCCTCGTCGAGTCCAGGCTGGATACAGGAGGCAAAAGAAAGGCAACCTCACAGCTGGCTCAGCAGGACTTTGAAGTCTGGTTTTCTCCTCAGCCAGTCTGCTCCCATTTTCCTTTTTTTTTTTTTTTTTTTACAGTTGTCAACTACCTCCCTCTTGCATCCCATCCAAGGTTTAACACTAGGCCACCTACTCCAGAGTCCAGCAATCTGTGCCTGGCTTTGGCTGAGTTGTTGGCAGCAGGGCTGGGCACGTCTGGGAACTGCCCACTGTAGCCTTTAATTCTTGGTCACGGGGAGAGTGGCAGAGCCCAGCTGATGGTCTCCGACCTGAGCCTCCTCTCTCCCACTATAGAGCACTGCACTGTGACAGAGCTAACTTGCCTGGCCTCTGTGGGAGACATAGGGCAGAGTCAAGAGGCCCCGAGAGGAATCCCACCTTCAGGCTGCAGCACTGGGAATACCATGTGCTCCTGGGCTGCTGTTAAAATGCACAAGGGCCCCACTGAGGTAAGAAATATATGGCCTCAATGAGAAAAGAGGTTACCAAAGGTAATGCAAGAAAGGTAATTACTAAAAGAAAATGAAAACATGTCCTAAATACAAGAGAAAGGCAAGCAAAGAGAGTAGAGCAAAGCCTGCATATGTGTCAGCGAGCGTGTGTACACACAGACACTGGTGAGGTGTAACAGAACAGCGTAAAAGAACGGATATCAAACCTACAGACAATATCATGCAGCCAATAAAAGGGACGATGAGGAAGATCTAATAGGTCAGTATGGAGTGATCTCCAGGACATGTTACTGAGTGAAAAGAGCAAGACACTCTTCTAAATATCTAAAAAGTCACCTTTTGTGTAAGGAGGAGGGAGGTATGAATACATCTGGCCCTTCGTATCTGTGGGTATTGGCTCTAGGAGCCCTTAAATCTGAGGATGCTCAAGGCTCTTGTATGAAATGGCACAGTGCAATTTTAGAGTTGGCCCTCCTTATCTGTGGGTTTCACATCTGCAGAGTCAACCAACCAAGGGCTGAAATTTCCTTCCTCGGTTGAATACGAGCACTTGAAACCTGTGACTATGGAGGGCCGACTGTATATACAAATTTACTAAAGTTTGAGAAAAGAAACACTGGGAGGGTCAACCAAGATCATAAAAATGGCTAAGTCTGGGATGGGGGGAGGGTGGAGGCACCAAGGACTGAAGCCAGACTTCTTTGAATAAACCCTGTCATATCGTTTGGATTTGGAAATGTAAAGGTTGGACGTATTCAGTGGGGAAAAAATATTGCCTAAAAATTGAAAACAAATGGAAGTAAAGGAACTCAACTGCACAAAAAGTTGGTGACACATGCACGTTGTGAAAACAGTTATTTCAAGTGCCCTTAGAACACAGTATTTCAGTTGTACATCTTTAATGAAACCTGTTTTAAGGACAAACAGAGCTGCAAAGAAATCTTAACCATTTCCCAGTACCCTCCCTGCAGCTGTCCCATGGGGATTCTCACTCTGAAGCTATTATCTATGTATACGGGAGAATCATGTGCACGACTACCTTGGTAGTACATGTGAATGAGAAATGTCGTGAGAAACCAAGTGCACCAGAAAACGTACAAATAAAAAAATCAAAGCCGTGGTAAATCCTGTAATGTTAAACTGGAACAAGGATGAATTGGGATGAACTCTCCTTTCTGCCACCAAATACATCTTCCTTAGTTTTTCAATGCAAAGGCTTAAAAGCAATGACAACCCAACAGAAGTAAGCACACACGGCATTCACATGGTAGCTCTAAACACCACTCTATCTGCGAAAAGCACCCTGGGTCCCTGAAGGAGTGGCTGATTGTAGGTCTGGGATGGGAGGTGCACAAGATGAGGGAGACATCCTGCTGGACCAAAAGCTACCAAAGGCTTCTAAGTGTTATCAGAAGGGCAGGGAGCCAATAGGAATGACTCCATCAGCCCAGACAGGATAATCTGAGTATTAAAAAAAAAAAATCTGCAACAGACAGACACGAGTTCACAAAGATACTGAAACATGAATAAATAAAAGAACCCTCCTGCATTCAAAAAACCCTCAACTCAGTGGACAACATCTGAGGTAAGCTCTGACTCTACTCTGAAAACTGGTGATTAAAAGAATAGAGAAGTATTCAACTGCTTTTTGCATACTGCACTTTCAGGTAACAAACTAAAGAACTTTCCATCATTACAGAAAATTTACAGCTAATCAATGTGGAAGGAACACAAAGCCACATTTTCCTCACCGGAAAACCAGAGGTGGCCTCCACTGTGTCCACAGGTGGTGCGAAGGATTAAAGACCAACATGGAGAAAGCAGTCAGACCTCATTATGCCCTAATAAACATTTACTCCATGTAACTCAAGCCTGGAGGAAGCATGCCCACCTCCTTCTTATCAGGCTCTGGAGGCAGGTCCTGCAGGTGGTGGAAAGATGCTCTTTCCTGTGCTTAGATGGCTATGACTACATCTGGAGTCACTGGAAATACAGACAGAGAGGATTCCAACTAACAAAGGACTCGAGCAGTGCAAGCAGAGGTTTCAAAAGACAAAGTGAGATCTGAACCAGTCAGGCCAGGAAAGTAGCCCATGCCAGCTGGCATCTTTTTCTTCCTTGAAGCCACTGGCACAAATACCACAGCTCTTAGCAGCTGGGAAGTAGTGTGATAGAGAAGGAAACACATGAGAAGCTGACTTCCTCGACTGCACACATGTGAGTCACCCAGGAGCTGAGTGCTAGAAGGGCTAAGTAAATACAGAGGTGTAACTCCCTGACAAAGCACCTCCTCTGGAACCAGGCAAGAAAAGGGTATGTTCTTGGCACAGGCCAACTCACCAGGTCACTGCTAACCAGGAAAGCTGAGAGGTCCACTAGGACCCATGTGGGGATCATAAAAAAGATGGCGTGGCAGCCCAAGATGTTCAGCAGCCGGAGATGGTGGATCCTTGAATCTCGTAACACCTGAAGAGAGAAAACCTCTTTAAAAGCTGATCAAAATGACAAGTGGCAAGAGGGGCTCCACTCACCCAGGCCCCAAACATGGTAGCTGTACATCAACCCTGACACCTGACCTTGATGCCAAACCTGCAAGTGCACTCATGCTGAGACACACAGCCCATGTCCAAAACAAGCATGATGTTTCATACATGAAGGACCGAGAAAAGAAAACAAACAAACAAACCCTCCAAAAAACAGCAACACTCAATGCTGGTGAAGCTACAGTGAAACAGGCACTCTGAAATAGCGCTGGTTAATATCTAGTTTGGTATGTAGTTCCAGAATACAACCAGACACAGTATATCAAGAGCCGTAAACATCTCATACTCTCTGACCCAAGAACTGTAAACCTATCATGAGGAAATAACCTTGAGAGGGAGAAAAACATTATGCACAAAGATGTTCATTACTGTATTGTTTATAGTAAACAGTTGGGAATAACCTGCATCTGCAATAGAGGAACTGACTGTGTCAACTGTGGTACCTGAAAAGAGTGTGATTATGACAGGAGTTAAGAGCAATAATTTTTAATGGTATGGGGGAATGTGACGTTATAACAGAAAATGAACAAAGCCAAATTTAAAACGTACCTATAATATACAACTCTAAAAACTGTGCAGAAAAATCCCCAGCATTAACAGTAGTTCTCTTTAGGAGACAGTACGGCGACTTTCCTCAGTAATGAGGAAACCTCTGGGAGGGGACAGGTTTCTTGGGATTCTTTGTCTCCAGCACCTACTTTGGTGCCTGGCACACACACAGTATGTACTCAGTAAGTTTTCTGATTTTTTTTGTCTTGGGCTTTTCTCTATTTTCACACTGAACCTATGTGAACTTTGTAATAAAACACACAAAACCTATTTTAAAAGTAAAACAACAGAGGAAAACTAGCAGAAGGGCAACAGGATTATTTTTGGTTCCAATGCCAAAGAAATCCCTATTTGGCCACTTTTTTTAGACGCCACCCGCACCCTACCCCTGAAACACCAGGTACACCCTAGATGGTTCCTGAATACCTTTTTGGAGAAAATATTCTGAAGTGAGAAGCACAGCGTGGCAGCAAGGGCGCTGACAAGCCCCCACATGTCGAAGGACAGCTCGGTGACAGTGGCCAGCAGGACGCCGCTGATGATGGGGATGAGTGACAGGTATACCTGCATGGGGAGGGCAGGAGGAGCTGATGGGCCAGGGTGGAGCTGGGATGCCCAACACAGACAACCAGAGGAAAGCCTCAGCTGCTCCTCTCCCTCACCAAAGGGACGCCACCCACCAAAGGTGTTAGCTATGACATTGACACTGGGAAAGGGAGGGACGATGGTTCTCCTAGGATATGAGGGCAGCGCTGTGTCACTGTGGGCAGCCCCGCTCCCTAAACCATCACCCCCATTAAGAGCCCCTGCTCAGGACCACAAGCCGGGGCTGGTCCTAATGGGACCTGTGCACTTGCCGCCACCCACACACCAGGGTCAGAAACCTCAGTCCTCCAAGAGGCTGGCCAGGTCTCTTATTTCAGGCAGTTTTCCCTGGTGGAGACCCACTTCCCCACACCTTCTTCAGCTCCCCCATCCCCCAGACGTTCTCAGATTCCTCC